AGTGTAGTATAGGTGTAAGAACAAATATATCCTTGAAGTATACATTGAATTCATATATGCCCCTAAACTTTTAAAAAATTGCAAAAATATCCTTCATGTTCTTATAAACGAGCAAATTTATCCTTATTGACTTTAAATTGATAAACTAAATTTCATAAAACACCAAAAGTAAATTATAAATTCAAAATTAAAAATAAAAAATTTAAAAATGTAATTGTGTCCATTTCTCCCTTTTATTGTTTTCATATCACAATTTAATATTGTTTGTGTAAAATATTATTTCAAAACCTTACCATATATTTAAGATTCTTTTAAAAAAGTGTTAACATATGTGTTGCAATGTAAAAAAAAATGCATTTTTTGCTCTATAATACTACATATTTTGTATGATGATATATGGCCCAAGATTGCAAAATAGTGAATTTAATTTTATTAAGGTGAAACAAAATCAAAGAATGTTATTTCAAAAAAGGTAACAACGTGTTCAAAATTTCACAACAAGACTAAAATTAATATTCATGAATTTGAAGCGCTTTATTTACAACGGGAAAATAATAATTTTTCAATTTAAATATAAAGAGTTAATATTTTAACATAATATTAAATATTTATTTTTAAGTTTTGAATTTTTAATTACTTTTTGGTGTTGTTTGAAATTTATTTTATCTATTTAAAGTCAATAAGGGTAAATTTGGCCCTTTATAAGAACATGAGGTGTATTTTTGCACTTTTTTAAAAGTTCAGGTGTATATATGCACTTCAATATAAACTAGGCGTATATTTGTTATGAAAAATAAAACATAAGTAATTTTGGGACGAAGGTAGTATATGTTTGATTTGATTTAATTTATTTTGTTCTGATCTCAATATTTCAAATTTATAATAATAATAATAATTATTACTATTAATATTGCAATGCAATACTATGTATATTGTAGTGAGTGTGTGTCTATATATATAGGAGAATATCATCACAGCGGCCACAACACGCATAACGTCCGCAAAGATTGAGAGCACATCTTCCTCTGATCAGGGACACCCAACGACACCTACAGCCATGTGGTCTCTCCTTCGTCCAAATCAACACGCCAAGTCAGGACATGCGTCGTCCTCAAAACAAAGGACACGGATCGTCCTCGATACAACGTGCAAAGAACATGATACACACATCACCCTCAATACAAGGCACATTTCTCGCCCATAGGAGCCAGGGATCCGCAATGGCTCAGGAAGCAACAGCAAGCATCAGCCACCAGATGGTTCCGCCTCGACCAAGAACGCCAAACATCTAGATGGTCCTCCGTCGGCCAGAAGTAAGAGGACATCATTAATCTACTCCCTTTCACTTTGTCTACATCTCAGCTCAGGGAGTGGGGGACTCCTGATGGAGTATATGGGTCCAGACCCCGTGACCCACATACTCAGAAGACTAAGAGGAAGAAGAGCTATCACCTAGCGGGTCCTCCGTCGGCTAGATGACCCTTCATCGGCCAGATAGATATCAACTCAGAATATGGTCCAGAAACCAGGAGAACCAGGGTGTCCCCGTCGGCCGTGTCTCCGTCGGCCAGACCTCCATCGGCCACAGAGACCCCGAATAGCTAGATTCCATACTTAGCCAATTTACACTTTGTATTCAGCCCAATAGAGGCCTTATACTGTAACGGGCCTCGCAAGCCCAAGACTTGAGAACCCTCATCCTAACCCATATTTTCCCTATAAATACTCCCTATTGGAGCCATGTAAAGGGTTGAGAAATCATTTATACATATCACTTTATCTCTCTAGCTCTCCCTTCTCTCTAAGAGTTAATACTCTATAAGAGTTAATACTCTATCGGTACTGCATAAACATTACCTTTTTCAAATGGTTTTATGTTGTGCTTACTCTGCTTTTGTACAATTACAATCTAATCTTTATCTTCTAAATAAGACTAGAATTCAAAGATATTAAAAGATTTTGACATGTAAGCATGAAACATGGTGGAAAAGCAAGAAGAAATCGCTCGGGACTCGGGAGCATAAGGAAGGGCCTTGAAGACAAAAGGAAGTTTCACGGGAGACAAAGAAAAAAAGAAAAAATCGATTTGATACCACACCCGATCGAGTATATCCAATACCTGGTCGGGTATGATTGGAGCTGAAGATTGTAGAAGATCGAACAAAGCAAAAGAACATGGGGAAATCAGATCTGGTCATATACGTGATCGGGCTAAACTTGCAAGTGTACAAGTGCCGATATAGTAATAAATTCCGGTAAAATACCGGGTCGAATCCACAAGGAAACGTTGTTTAATTCAAGTCCGAGAGTAGATAACTTTAAATGAAGAATTGAATAAAGTGCAGGGATTTTGATTTGTGTTTTATATTTTTGGTTTTTTCACTTTTTGTTCAACAAGATAATCGTTAACTAACTTTGAGTTCAAGATAAATGATAACAACAACTAAGGCTTCGGGAATCACTTAAATGATTTAATAGGGTTGAATATTAGTTCTTTACCAATAATTATGAATACAATGTCGCTAATATATTCTCAACTCCGGTTAAGGCAGCGAGAGCGTGGTTTTCGTTACGTGTAGTCCCGTTACAGCTTACATTCATCTACCGAAAACCCCGTTGAATATCAAGACATCACACCCGTATCATATAAGACCAGATATATTTCTATTCTCGGTACTATATATGTTTATCCTTTAATGTTCATAGTTTAGACTTCAACGTTAATTGCAAGTATAAACTAAATTTAACATACTTCTATGTTGTACACCATAGTCATAAACAATCAATATATAAAGGATAAATCACAATTTATTGGTTTAGAACTTTTATCAAACACCTAGTGGGCATAGAAGTTCATCCCTAGCCTTAGCTAAGAAATTAGCCTCTAATGCTCATATTAATCACAATACAATAATAAATGTAATGGAACATGAAATTACAAAGGAAATAATACCTAAACACCAATGATTTCGGAGGATGAACTTCCCTCCTCAAGAACTTGAAGAAAATATCAAGAACAACAATATAAAAGCTAAGAATTAATCTATGGAATGGAATATGTTTGTATGATGAATTGAGGGCTTTATATAGGCTAAAGAATGACATCTTTTAGTTTATTCGAACCCAACAATGAGGTGTGGAGCAATATTTGATCAAGAAATGAGGAAGATGACCTTTTCCCATCAAAAATCCTCTTGCACGTTGGCCTGTTTTGTGCAGAAATCGCCCCAACCGGCCCCGGTTGAAAACAGGCTCATTTGTGCGAGAAAAAGCGTTCCGACCGGCGCCGGTTCAAGACCGACCGGCGCCGGTTGATGCGCCCAAAAATGTACTTCATTTCTCTTCCTCCGAAATGGATCAAAAAGGGTCGGTTTTTGTACCGGGATTTTGGAGATGTTCTGCTACGAATTTGGACATGATTCCTTCACCAAAGTTGTAGATAATGAAGTCTTCTATCCAACAAAACTTGAATGACGTGATTTTATGCATCTAATCAATAGATATGGATAAAACACTGAGAGGTATGCACCCTGAAATCCCACCAGCAACATCTGACTTTATCGGTTGATTGAGTATTGTTCCTTTCTTATTATGGCCATGATGTCTTCATAACATTTGTACCTTATTGAGTTACCATTCACATGAAATTCGAATGGAGTGATTTCGAGTTCTCTACAATACGTTATACTCAAATGATGGGCAAAACGTCATCCTTTTGGTCCCAAAAGCCGTTCATCACAATGTTTTATGCTCTAACTCTCATTCTCAAGATATTTTCCCAATTTCTCTTCTTTTCTCCAACAAATACTTATAAATACTTATGTTAAACACAAGTAAATATAACGGCTATCAATACGCAGTCGGGTATATTGACATATCCGATCATGTATGACTAGATTTCATCACTTTCATATCTACTGCCAACGATACCCGGTCGGGTACCGACCCAACCACCTCTTTTCTACTATAAAACACCCCTTTCGTTCTCATTTTGCAAGCACGTCAATCCCTCCTTTCATAGAGTTTATGTTTTTAATTTAGGTACTCTTCTGTTCCTGGTTTTGCTATATTGAAGGTTGTGATTTGCAAGTTATGAGTTATTTCTTTAATCCTTCTCTTTTCAATATTATTACTTCCGTCCCACTCAAATTTGCCAACTTCATTTCGGGTGTGGAATTGAAAAAGTAAAATCTGTCTGTGGTTTATGTTTGTGCAGAGGATAGAAAAATGAATACAGTTACAAATTCATTGATTTAAATGAAAAGTGACAAAGTTTTGGGACAAACGAAAAAAGAAAGTTGGCAAAGTCTAGTAGGACAAAATGAGCAATTACTTCCCTATTCACATTCCATATTGATATTTGAGCATGCTAAGTGACCGATTAGTTGATGTTTTGATATTGGTAATTGCCATAATCGGTCAGTAAAGACACTTGTCTCTCTTGGCTAATAACCTAAAAGGTAATTGATAATAAATGATTAAATCAATAAATCGTCTGTGTTGAGATTGTCAATCTCAATTGATTTCATTAGATGACCAATTGATGAATTAGATAGAGTACCTCGACCTTATACTCACCTCGGGTTAATTACAAGTTATCATTATTAATTGATTTCATTAAATTGATCAAATCCTACTATGAGGTCAATATAAGGCGCCTGATATAAATTGCCTAAACAATCTGGTTTTTTACGAACGCCTCTCGTTATTAATAGCCAGCCTAGATGAAATACGCGATTCAATCTCCACAATTAAGTATTCAAGAGGGGACAGTTAAGCTGTAATAATAACTACCCTTGATGACCATTAAAAATGCACTAATGCTCATTCAAGAAAACGTGATTTTCATTTAAATTACGAAAATATCACCGATTGTACGATATACACGTACCGTATGAACTCTTGTGATTTTCGGAAACTCTTGTGATCCGGTGTCGCTTCAGTTCGATTTCGAACCGAACACATATCAATCAATGTTATTAGTTTTGGCGAAAAATCAAGCCGCTTTAGAAATAGTCCGTATAATATGACACTGATTTATTTCATATAAAGAATGGAAAGCGTCAAGTACAGAAGCGATGATATGAATGAACAAACTTAGGATAAAAAGGGGGATCTGCGCGGAATGCCTTTCCTTCTCCTTGCATTCGAAGGCGGTGTTACCAGAAACATGTCGTTTTGTGAGGAGGCCTCACACAACTCGTGTTCCCCTCTTCTTGAAGAAATCCCTTCACCGGCTCTTTGCATTGCAACCTCATTCATCGCGTCTAACATAAGACTTCCATTCCCATTCCTCTTGATTCCTACAAGCTAAAGTGTTGGTAAACACAAAAAAGAAAATAGTTATTTATCACATTTTATATTATACTCCTTTCTCCAAGTAATTAAGTTTGAAATTTGTACTTTGTAGGACCAAATCTTAAGACATCAACATACTTTTTATAGAATAAAAATATACATACATACATACATACATACATACACACACATACACACACACATACACACACATCCACACACATACACGTACAAACTCGTCGAAGAAACTTGGTGATTTTCTTTTGGCATTTTTTCGTTTTTTAAATTCGTCGGCATATACTACTTATAACATACATAGTATTTTGTTTTAGTTTGCTGCAAAATAACTACTTTCATCTCTATTATCTGACTATTTTCTTCGTAATCCATCTCTAACTCCCACAATCCCACATCACTCACTTTGAGAAAAAGTTATTATCGTTTGCATAAATCTACTAGAAACTTTTAGGGGTTTTGTCATTAATATTACTAAAAAAGGCTAATGAACATAAAAGTGATCTTTTAATTTAGTTTCCAAAAATATGACTAGTAAACACTTGCATGTCTAAATTGCTTTTGTTTAGCACCGTATAAGTTTACTTTTATCATTTTATGCCATCAATGCAAGTGCGTAGCAATGCACTCATTAACGTTTTTTAGTAATGCACTGCATCCGAATGTGTTTAATATTGCAAATACTAAAAATTGATGTTTTTTTTATTTTAATGTTATTTCTCAAGATAAATATTCGAATATGGAACATAAAGGCTTAAATACTTAATTTTTTATATTAAAAATTGTGTGAAAATTGTTCCAGTTACTATCGCTCTTAGTTACTACTTTTTCAACGACTACCGTTTCCGTTACTACCGTTTCAGTTACCATTGTTCCAATTACCATCACTTTGGTGACCATCGTTTCAGTTACTTACGCTACAGTGAGTAATGTCCTAGTTACAAACTCCAGTGACCGTCACAATGGTGCCCGTATCTGACCCATGTTCGCCCGTTCAGTTACTAACGTCCGACCGCCCATTGACCAACGAACACGCCCATCTAATGACCTACGTTGCTCAGCCAATTACAATCGCCATGCCGCCGGTGACCAAACCCGCCGGTCAGTGGCCCAACCCGCCAGCCAGTGACCAACCCCACCAGCCAACACTAGTGAGTAAACCTGCTACACAGTGACCAAACCTGCCGACTAGTGAGTAACAAAGCTGCCCAGTGACCAACACTATCCTCACGGGTGACCACCAACCAGCATCATACCCAGCCAACACCGCCGCCGACTAGTCGACTACCACCAACCCACCCCCGACTAGACTCCCCAGCCCCCAGCCACCTCAACAGCCCCTCCCAGCCCCCAGCGACCTCCCCCTCCCCCTCCCCAGGCCTCTCTTCATCATTGCCACCCCAAACCTTGCTGGAAACCCATTCCTAGCCCCTCACCCTAATCTCAGTCCTGGTTCGCAGCTGCCGCTTCCCACCCAAAACCCTAGCCGACGGGAATAGTCGGCTACATGGCCGCCTAACTGTAAATGGGTCCCAAATTACCGATTCAAAGCCGATGTATTCAATCCCAAAATTTCCGTGCTTGCAATCGCCAGAGAACTAGCTCTCACCTGCGCATCTCACCGCGTCCGTCACCTGCTATTCGTTTCCATCAACAACCTGCGGACGAATTCAGGATTGTTGTGACCTCATCCTCGACCGCCCGAGATTAATAGAAGAAGAGAAAGTACAAACCTCTTGCTTGGCCGTGGGATGGAAGCGACGTGGAGATAGCAGTAGCAGCGTGAAGATGGCGGCGATTGAGATTGCAGAAATGAGCGATTGAAGCATCGCACATGGCCTGTGAACGATGATGCCTTGCGAACCGTTTTTAAAGTAGGGGTATAATTGACCAGTTGGAATGAGTCTCTTTTTTGTCCAAACGGGAACATAGTCATATACTCCGTATTTGTCTATTCAAAGCCCAAGAGTAATATTTGAGTCATTTATTCAAACTTTTATATTCATATTTATTTATCGAATTTTGTAGTGGGCAGCATTGAAGTTAAAACAATTTAAAACCAATTATTCTCATTTTAAAAATAGGTGGTAACGAGTGGCGTATTCAGGAATTTCCGTCAACGAGCGAACTATTATATCTCGCATCTCATAAACAATAATCACATTAAAAAATAGTGTAAATTCAATTATAAATAATAAAGTATTCGTGGGACAAAAATATTATGATATCATAATTAAAAACTTCATGGAAAATAAAACTTAAACTTACTAAAAAAATTAATCACATAGTTTATAATTTATTCAAAATTATGTTAACAGTAAAAATCAAATAAGGAATTAATCAAATATATTTTAAAATTAATTTAAATAAGTTGCGAATTCACAAGTATATTAAAAATGAGTACTCTAGACATGTTACATGTAACAATGTACTCCCTCTGTCCCGTAGAAAGGTTCTCACCGTTTATGATGTTTGATTGACCATAAAGTAAATTGATCCCTATCTATATTTAGATTTTCTTTAGTAAAAAAGTTACATATTCAGAATCTACATTAAAAGTTTTATGAAATCGCAAAAAACTCATACGAAGTATTTGATAAAAAATAGATATATAAAGTTAGAGATTAAGAAAATATTTCATTGACGGGAGAAGATGAACATTTGTATAGGAATGATGTAATAAGTAATAAACTCTACGAATCACAAGTTATGTGTCAAAAATTAAATTGTAATTATATTGTCCACATGGATTATTTAAGAGAATGTTGCAGTTGAATTACTTAAATCTAAACAAAAATTGATATAATGATGTGGACCAATCAAATGAATAATAGATACGATACCCTATTTTTTAAATGAATATCTCATTTGTTACCTTTATTTTTACTCTTATTCCGTGATTATTATACATACATAATACTCCGTAGTCGGTAATATAATAGGTGTACTTACTTTAGGAAAACGGTGATAATTAGGGAGTTAAAATACGCCCCAGTAATTTTAGACAGATGGAGTATATGTGTGGTGATGATGATGGGAATGGCCCACCGGCATCATGAAACGCGCGGATCATGGGTTAGCGGGCGGGTCAAGGAAAGAAGATGAGAGAGAGAGAGGGACATACCTTACAGCCGAGAGAACAAAAACGAAAAGTGTCCAAAAGGCTTCTGCCGCAGATCTCGCAGAGGTTAGAAACGGCGGCGGGTTTGCCGGTACTGGTCTTAGGCTGGGGGCGCTGGTTGAGGAACATGACCTTGGCGCTGTTAATCACATACGTCTGCACCCCACTGATGTCCAACACCCTCTCTATCTCCCCCACCCTCACCACATCATGGTACGAAGATCTCCTTATCTGATCCATTTTTATTCCAATGAATATATATATATAATTACAATCTATCTTATCCCCTGTTTTCGGTTGAGGTACGTACGTACCTGAATGACTTGATGATCTTTGTGGCGGGAGGAGCGGCAGTAGAAGCAGAAGGCGGCGGCGGCGCAGTCAATGCAGAACATGTTGCATTCGCTCCTCGCTCCGTCACCGTGGGTCCTGCAGGCGGCGAAGAACGCGGTGTTTAGCAGCGGCTCGAGCCACAGAGGGGCCGGCTGCTGCATATACATTATTATTATTATTATATATACATAGATAGATCAGATGACGACGCGAGAGGCCGGCCGGCCGGCCGGCCGGCACGCAGAAGAAATAAATGCTTAGCTTATTGCATGCGCGCAACTAACTTCATCATCATCATCTATCATTACTTACATACGTACCATTATATATATTGTGGGGATCGAAAAGAAGCTAGCCAGGCCCAGGCCAAGGAAGGATTCAACAGCTAGCCAGTTAGTTAGTGCTGATGATTGAAGCAAGAGAAATTACAGAGATGAGGGTGGGTGGGTGGAGGCCGGCCGGCCTAATCTTGATCGATAATAAGCAAAATAAAACCAAACAAACACCAACTTACAATTCAACTACAAACAAACAAAAAAAGACATGATCGAACCAATCAATTTATCTCTCTCTAGCGCAGCAACACGGAGGGAGGGAGGGAGGCGTCGGAGGTTGGGCTACTTGGTTCTCCGGCCTCTTCAATTCTTTGCGTAGGCCAAGGGTCGGCCGCTTCTCTACGTTTCAGACCTCCAACTTTCCCCTCTCTGCTTTCTTTCTTACGTGTCCCATTATTTATTGCTGCCGCATGGGTCCCGCTCCATGCTTTCCTGCCCCATGCAACTACCCTCCCCTCTCCCACTTTTTTCTTTGCCTAACGCTCATTTCATTTCATAATACTTGATCCATCTGTGGGTGTAACTCAACACTTAGTAATGAAGTGTCATAAGGATCAGGTAGGTCTCAAGTTCGAATTTCGACAATTCTAAAATGCATATGACCTCTACAAGTACTAGGGATATAACCTCATTATCTATCTGTCAGATTGTGATTATAGTCCAATTTACATCCTTCCAACGTACCGCCTGTCTACCTTGAAACCAATCAAACTTCTAATTAAAGTACTCCAATTAAATGATTCCCTGGCCTCTATTTTTGGGAAATTATATTTAACGTAATTTCAAATCACTTCGTGTAATAATACTCCCTCCGTCCCTTATGACCTTACCAACTTTCCTTTTTGGTTGTCCCAAAAACTTTGTCATTTTCCCTTTTAGTCAATCAATTTATGGTTCCTGTTATTTCTCTCTCCTCTGCACAAATCTCTACCACACAGTTTTTACTTTATTATTCTACGTGTCGGTCAAACTTGACAATCCATTTAGAGACAGAGGGAGTATTTGCTACCATAGAGTTTGACACAATGTCTAAGAGATCATTAATAGTAGTAATCAATAGTAAGAAAAAGTAGGAGATATGATGATACAAGAATATTAAAGAGAACTTGAAAAGTAGAAAAACTAATAACAATTGAGTGTTTTTAAAAGGAAATTGTGGAAAAACCTAAAATAAATTTCAAAAAGAAAAATGTAGCAAAGAAAAGAATGTGGAGGAAATACTACGAATTTTATACACATTAGTACTGTTATATGAAGAAACAATAATAAATATCCAAAAAATATAATACTTCCACCGTCCTGTTGGACATTGTCTACATTGATTTGGATGTAGAATACAAAAAGTAAAAACTGTGATTGAGATTTGTGCAAAGTAGAAAAAAGTAAGAAATACCACAAATTCATTACTTTAAATGGAAAGTGTCAAAGCTTTTAGGAAAAAGAAGAATTGACTAAGTCTAAAGGGACATAGGGAGTGCAAGATTGAACCTAATTTGTACTTGGTTTAAATATGTTTTATCCCCTGCAAGCATATTATATTTTGTTTCACGTGCGTGCATTTTTTTCATCCCCCAAAGTTAAGTTGATGTTCCTTTTAGTCAATCACTAATGATAAAACAACACTTGTTTGACAATGAAATAACCCCAATCAATAGGTTTTCTTTAATTCTTGTCATGTTATTCAAAAAGTAATTATTAGGTTTTTCATAAATATTTAAAAAATGTGAATAATTAATTTTAAATTATTTTTAAATCTTATGTGAGTACAAAAAATTATTAAAGGACAAATTTAAAAGTTTGTCATAGATTTATGCAACCGACAATAATTTATTTTCTAAATAGAGTGATTTCGGAGTAAGATATGTATAAAAAACAAACTAGTGCATATAATAGAGATGGAAAACAAAAAATTTACTTTGTAGAGACCTAAAACAATGTGTCTTATTTGCAGGGACTGAAAACGTATTTAAGTCTTTTTACTATTTTTAATATATTAAATTTTAAAATGTATAAAAAATGCAAATACAAAATGATATTGATGGAGAATATTCCCACATACTCCAGGGGTACCGCAATCTATGGACAAAAGGCTCTCAAACATCTCAAACACTTAAATAACAGAAGTTTCAGCCGACCTCCGACCTCAGCTCGACACTTGAGGTCGGGAAAAGATATTAGGCAGCGAATCGACAAAGGCCATAAATCCAGCCGACCTCGACCCCTCTTCAAGGTCGGAGCTCGGGCATCGCTCAGATGAAGCAAAATATGAGGCCGACCTCGGTCACGCCGAGGTCGGTACCAACTCCGACCAATGACACTAATATGAGGTCAACCAAAGTCAACCAAAGTCAACAGAATAATCACCAATACCGGGCAAACTGAAGACCAGAGTTAGTTCCTCCATATATGGGCTTTACTTTCCCGAGCTCTGACCTCCAGGAGCTCGGGGTCTCACCCGCGTTGTGGACCTAAACATTTCACGAAATTAAGTGCGACACGAACTACCCCCACGTCACCAGCATTGTATGAAACGCCACATCACTCCAGGCGGATAAGATGAAGACTAATCCGGATAAAACACGTGCAACCCACACGTGTATTCTGGTATAAATTTGTTATGCACGACACCAATTAGTTGTTGAAAAAATGTGTTAAAAATTTGCATTAAATGGTCATTTTGGGGCAATTATTTGAGTGGGGTCCACTTCCGATTTGGGTCGGGTCAAACTGGTTTCGGATTGTCCTTGTTAAGAGCTACAATTTGATATATGGTACGCTCAAAACGGATAACGGGTGAATGAGAAATTGATTCTCGAAGTTCACTCGTTGAAATGGAAAAACTGGGAAAATGATGAATTTCTAGTGTGTTTTATACCACACCGGAAAACTCAAGGGATTTTCACCCCCTTACAAAGGAACCCTCTTTTAAGGAGTTAGATTCTTGAAGGTAAAGGCTCTCTCTTAAGCGCAGGGGGGGGGGGTGCCGATCAAATCCCGAAACGGAGAAGAAAAGCCGCGACTCGTGCGCGTGGGCGACCTGCGTAGCACGAGCTCTGGCTAAACTCTGTTTCATCTATTTTTTGTTTTCTTTTAGCTATTTTATTTATTAATTAATTTTATTTAATTAATATTTCTTCGTTTTTCCGAGACACAGATACAATCTTAAATCGTAGTTTGTCACTTTGGTGAACGAACTTATTTTTTTGTGTTTTCGGAAAACGTAAGAAAACGTTAAAATGACTTCACAAGAAATTGGAAATGTTGGTGGGCAGAACGTGCCAAACGATAATCACTCTGAAAGTGGAGCATCAGTGAACAATGGTTCACAACGCGGTGCATCTACTTTGGGCAACCAATGGGCAATCCATATGGTTACCGTGCTAAGCAACTCTGTGGAGAAACCCGAAAAATTTAATGGGTTAAACTTCAAGAGGTGGCAACAAAAGATGCTATTTTACCTCACTACTCTCGATCTTGCTAGGTTCTTGACCGAAGATGCGCCGGTAGCAACCGGGGGTGAGGTGGATGCGCAATCTTTCAACGCGGTTGAAGCCTGGAAGCATTCTGACTTCCTTTGCCGAAACTACGTGTTGAACGGGCTGTATGATGCTTTGTACGACGTGTATAGCAAATTAGCTACGGCTAAGGAGCTATGGAATGCTTTGGACCACAAATATAAAAGCGAGGATGCCGGTGCACAGAAATTTGTTGTCGACCGATTCCTTGATTTTAAAATGGTGGATTCGAAGACGGTCTTGAGTCAAGTTGAGGAAATGCAAATGATCTTCAACGAAATTCGAGATGAAGGAATGACAGTTAGTGAGTCTTTCCAAGTGGTGTCAATTATCCATTTTTTCCCGCCGGCTTGGAAGGATTTCAAGAACTACCTCAAGCATAAGCGAAAGGAAATGAACTTGGAGCAATTGATCCTCCATCTGCGGATTGAAGACGATAACCGGAAGAACGATGGGAAACTCCCAATCGTTAACGGCGCCAAGGCCAACGTTGTGGAGCATGCAAAAGGCTCCAAAAAATAAAAATAATGGGAAGAGCAAGCTCGGTCCCAAGAGAGGCGTTTCCAAGACAAAGTTCAACGGAAAATGCTTCAATTACAGTAAAAACGGACACAAGTCCGCGGATTGCAAGGCACCCAAGAAGAAGAGAGACTCTCAAGTCAATTTGGTGCAAGGTGGGCAAAAGGATGAAGACATCATCCTTGCGGCTGTGGTGACCGAGGTCAACCTCGTTGGATCCAATTCAAAGGAGTGGTTCGTGGACACCGGTGCTACCCGACATATTTGCTCAAACCGGGAGTTATTCACTACTTTCGAGCCATCAAATGGTGAAAAGGTGTGAATGGGAAACTCAGCCCATTCCGCGGTTGAAGGCGTGGGCAAAGTGGTCCTGAAGATGACTTCGGGCAAGGAGCTGACTCTCAACCAAGTGTTGTTCATTCCGGAGATACGCAAAAACCTGATCTCCGGCTCGTTGTTGAACAAGCATGGCTTCCACATGGTCTTTGAGTCAGACAAACTAGTTTTGTCTAAGTCGGGATTGTATGTGGGCAAGGGGTATGCATGTGATGGGCTGTTTAAGCTCAATGTAATGACTATTATTAATAATAATAAAATCCCTTCTACTTACTTGCTTGAGTCTTCCAATGTGTGGCATGGTAGACTAAGACATGTTAATTTTAATTTTATACGTAGATTAATTAACATGGAGCACATTCCTAAATTCACAATTGATGTGAAGCGCAAATGTGAAGTTTGTGTAGAGGCAAAACTAACGAAAACGTCTTTCAAACCGGTTGAAAGAAAAACGGAACCACTTGAATTAATTATAGTGACGTTTGTGATTTTAAATCAATACAAACACGTGGCGATAATAAATATTTTATTACCATTATCGATGATAGCACTCGCTATAGCTACGTTTATTTATTAAAAAATAAACACGACGCAATCGATAAACTCATTCTTTATAAGAATGAAGTGGAAAACCAACTTAATCGACGGATTAAAGCGATTAGAATTGATCGAGGTGGTGAGTATGAAGCACCAATTGGTGACTTTTGCGCGAGCATGGGTATAGTACATGAACGTACTGCACCCTATTCACCTCAATCAAACGGTGTTGCTGAACGAAAGAATCGCACATTGAAAGATATGATGAATGCGATGCTAGTAAGTTCGGGCCTGCCACAAAATTTGTGGGGCGAAGCAGTCTTGTCAAGCAATTACCTTTTAAATAAGGTTCAGCGGAAAAAATATGATAAAACTCCCTACGAGTTGTGGAAAGGCAGACGACCTTCCTATCAATATTTAAAAGTGTGGGAGTGTCTTGCAAAGGTGCTTGTACCAACACCTAAGAAAATAAAAATAGGTCCAAAAACGGTGGATTGTATTTTTATTGGGTATGCACAAAATAGTAGTGCTTATCGGTTTTTAGTGTACGATTTGAATAATGCGGATGTACATAAAAACACAATAATTGAATCAAGGAATGCTTCATTCTTTGAAGACGTATTTCCATGCAAGTCCAACGAAGGGTCAAGCACGTCAAAACGAGCATTTGACGTAGCTATGTAAAATACTAGCGAGGGGTCCGGAGAAGAACCCAAACCCAGACGTAGCAAACGTGCTAGAGTTGAAAAATCCTTCGGACCGGATTTTCTCACATACTTGATAGAATTTGACTCGGATATTCTAACATGTATGGTAGAAAATGAACCGGATTTTCTAACATGTTTGGTAGAAAATGAACCACGGACTTATACGGAAGCCGTGACGTCTACCGAAGGTCCTATGTGAAAAGAAGTCATCAAAAGTGAGGTGGATTCTATCCTTATAAATTACACATGGGAATTGGTTGATCTTCCTCCGGGAAATAAACCTTTGGGATCCAAGTGGATTTTTAAACAGAAAATGAAACCTGACGGTTCCATCGATAACTACAAGGCCAGACTTGTAATCAAGGGATACAAGCAACGTGAGGGCCATGATTACTTTGTCACGTATTCTTCTGTGACGAGAATAAATTCCATTAGGATGATACTAGCAATTGCCGCACTACGGAAATTGGAAGTTCATGAAATGGATGTAAAAACCGCTTTTCTAAATGGCGATATAGACGAAGAAATATATATGGAACAGCCCGAGGGCTTTCGTGTTCCTAGCCAAGAAAGGAAACTGTATAAATTAATTAAATCATTGTACGGATTGAAACAAGCCCCTAAACAGTGGCACGAAAAGTTCGACCATGCAATGTTAATTAATGGGTTTAAAATAAACGAAAGTGACAAATGCATCTATGTGAAGAGCACGGTAGACGGCTATGTCATTTTATGTTTATACGTGGATGATATACTCATCGTGGGTAGCAATAATCTAATGATTAATTCTACCAAAAACATGTTAAATTCTAAATTTGACATGAAGGATATGGGGTTGGCCGATTTATTCCTTGGGATTAAAATAATTAGGGGATCAGACGGTCTAACTCTAAGCCAATCCCATTACGTTGATAAAATCCTTACGAAATTTAATAAAGATGATTATCAAGAAGCAAGGACTGCATTAGATAAAAACGTACAACTTACCAAAAATCGTGGAGAGTGTATTTCTCAAGTACAATACGCTAGGATTGTTGGAAGCTTGATGTATCTAATGAGTTGTACCAGGCCTGATATTGCCATTCTGTTTAACAAGTTGAGTAGATATACTAGTAACCCCGGTGATGAACACTGGAAGGCAATAGTAAGGATTTTGAGGTATTTACGTAAAACCCAAAACCTTGGACTGCACTATGGAAGATATCTAGCTGTACTTGAAGGGTCTAGCGACGCTAGTTGGATATTCGACATTAAGGACTCAAAGTCCACAAGTGGATATGTTTTCACTTTGGAAGGTGCAGCCGTGTCATGGAAATCCTCAAAACAAACGTTAATAGCTAGATCCACGATGGAGTCTGAGCTAATAGCTTTGGATAAGTGTTCTGAAGAGGCTGAATGGCTACGCCATTTTCTGGAGGATATTCCAAGTTGGGAAAAACCTGTCCCTCGAATACGCATACATTGCGATTGTCAAGCGGCAATTGGAAGGGTACAGAGCAATATGTACAATGGTAAGTCTAGACATGTTCGTCGTAGACATAACGCCATTAAACAACTCCTCACAATGGTTGTTATCACTGTTGACTACGTGAAGTCAAAAGATAACATAGCGGATCCGCTAACCAAGGCATTGGATAGAGAATTGTTGGAGAAGTTGTCACGAGGAATGGGACTAAAGCCCGTGAATTGAAAATTTCTATAGTGGACACCCAACCTAGTTGATCCTAGGTTCAAAAGGGACAACTAAATTATAGAGCGAAGGATGGTCACTGTGAGGGTCCCGGACTCCTACCCAATCCTCGTTTAAAACAGTGACTTCCGCACGACGTTAGCAAAAACGTTTGCTTTAATGATTCTGAAATGTGTATCTACTCGATAACAGTGGAAGAATATGCGGGATACTCGTGAAAGAATCACCTATGTGAGAGAGAAGATGACCGCTTCAAAGGAGAACTGTAAAGGCTCAGTTCTTTAGAAACTCTTGCAGAACCAGGACGGTGACCCATGGCCAAAACGGGCACACCCATGAGAACGAAAAAAAGTTGGAAGATTCTTGTGTAAAGATAAGTCAATGTTTACACGACGGCAGTATAGTTCAAGGACATCGAGTCTACTAGACAGCCAATAAATAAACGTGTCTTTACCGCGGAAGGTTCAAAGGATAAAACCTACCTCTCCGTATGCAAGGATCATCCCATAAACACAACGTATCCTCCTATCTTCGTGTCTTTTGAAGTCTCGAAAATCAATTTTCATTCATGTGGGCAATCGTTGGAAAAATGTGTTAAAAATTTGCATTAAATAGTCATTTTGGGGCAATTATCTGAGTGGGTCCACTTCCGATTTGGGTCGGGTCAAAGTGGTTTCGGATTGTCCTTGTTAAAGGCTACAATTCGATATATGGTACACTCAAAACGGATAACAGGTGAATAGGAAATTGATTCTCGAAGTTCACTCGTTGAAATGGAAAAACTGGGAAAATGATGGGTTTCTAGTGTGTTTTATACCACACCGGAAAACTCAAGGGATTTTCACCCCCTTATAAAGGGAAGCCTCTTTTAATGAGTTAAGATTCCTGAAGGTAAAGACTCTCTCTTACGCGCAAGGGGGGTGTCGATCAAATCCCGAAACGGAGAAGAAAAACCGCACCTCGTGTGCGCGGGCGACCTGCGGACACGAATGCCGTCTGAAAAATCATATCATTTAATGATACGATTTAATTTTTGTTTCTTCCCGTAAAAGTTCCTTACTTTTTCCAAGCTGAGAGTTCTGTTCGCAACAGAGGTGCTCGCCTTCTGTCCGCAACAGAGGTGCTCGAGTTCTGGTCGCACCAGAACTGCTCCTCTTCTGTTCGCACCAGAAGACCTCTGGTCGCACCAGAACTGCTCCAGGCGTTACCGCCACTAAAAGCCCAACGTTCTTATCCTTTAATGCTGCGTTAAATGGACAGTTTTTGGACGATTCAATGCCCAACGGACTGGTCATTGATGTCCAACGTTCAGGTCCATCAACACTTCATTTAACACACAACAAATCCTCCTATAAATGGTTGGCAGGTGATTTGCAACAACACAACACACAATACATTCCTCACGTATTTTTGAGCTCTAAAAAACATTTAGCTATTCAGAAAATTCCTAAGTGTTCATACTGTGTTCCAGTTCGCCGGAACTATCGTTTGTGTGCTCAAACGTTAGTTCGTTAGCCATCGTATCCTGGGAAACGGTCGTTGCAACGCTCCTAGCACCGTGGGAGGCGACGAATACGTTTTAAGGACATCGTGCGTAGCACGAGCTCTGGCTAAACAATGTTCCATCTATTTTCTGTTTTCTTTTAGCTATTTTATTTATTAATTAACTTTATTTAATTAATATTTCTTCGTTTTTCCGAGACACACCCAACATTAGTCAGATGCCCCTATTATCTCTCCAATCACGTTTACACGTTTCAATGTACTATTAGACTAACTTTTATATTCTGTTAGAGAGGAAGGACATGTGTCCTCACCACAATAGAATGGAATAACATCTTTTTACTTGGGCACCTAGTATCACCTTTTTAGTATAAATATCACCTTCGAACATGTGGAAAGGGACCCAAAATAGAATTCTCTTGCACTTACTCTGCTGAATTTGATACCCAAGATTACTTAGCAATTCTTTCGTTCCCTCTCTAATTTCCCGGATTCCGGCTACCCCCAGGGTCAGCGATCCGTCATTTGATGCTTTCCTTAAAGAAAATCAGAATGTGTGGTTTTATTTCTTTGAGGCTTCATTGAAGAGGCCCTCGAAGTACTTGGCATTCTCCTCAAACCCGGAGGCCCTATCCTTTGCTTAAGCTAAGGCCTTCACGGCCTCATCTGCGGTCACCTTGAGGGCTTCAAATTGGCTTTGGCCCTCCTTCAGCGTGACTTCTAAAACTGTCACTTGCTGCTCAGCAGCAAGGGCCCTCTCTGTGAACTCGTCCAACAACTCTCTGAACTGGCTAGTTTGCTTGATGGCCCGGTTTGCGGTGTCCTCGAGCTCCGCCACATGCTGGTGAGATATCTTCAGGGTTTCCTCCACCAGGTGCCGGAAATAACGGAGACCCATCTTCCTCTTCTCAGCCTTCCGAGCCTTGAGCTCAGCAGGATCAGCCTAAGGGCCAATTCATGGCCCATAAAAGCAGTCTACAAAAAAGGGCAACAAGACTTGAGAACAAGTAACTAAACAGTAAAATTGCAGCAGACAGAAAAAGCTGAATACAAATACACTTGCTCGAAGAGCACCGGTGGTGAGGCCATTGGAGATACCCCTGATGCTCATCCTCTTAAGCACCCGATCGTCAAAAGGGGGACAGATCTTGGTCAAGAAGTCCATGGTGTTTATGGTTTCAACAATGAAGTTGTCATTACCATCCATATAGTATTGGAACTTCAACAATCTTTGGGGACATAGGGCTGACCAGCCCCCTTACCAGCAATTGTAGCACTGTTGGGTCCAGGATGACCTTGGAACACCCGGTCTTGCAGTTGCCGGATGGTCTCCTCATCTTCATCATCATCCTCACTCTCCACCATAACTCCGTTCCGGTGTGGAGGAGTGGCAGCAGTAACAACTTCAAAATGGGGTTGATGTTGCATAGCTCCCATAACATCTGTGTGCCTTTCTTCATTAGCCGCGACATGAGACTGCATAACGGCATCACTACCATGGGCCGCGGCATCAGACTTGCCAGCAACATCATCACCATTGGCCACAGCATCCGGTCACCTTTATCCCCACCTTCGGTCCTTCACTTGCCGCGACATTACCTTGCCCAGGTATTATCATCATGTTCATCGTCATCCTCTGGGGAAGGCTCTGGATGCTTCACCTCTTCAGAGGGGTTGGTCTCCCCCCTCACACACCTTGAACGAGGTCAAGGAGGTCAAAAATGTTTAAACCACCTGTGAAGCATAACAACATAACTAAGAACAGATACAACACATTGCAAACATTGACACCATAAATTCACGCAACAAAACAGAGTAACATAGTAAAGACAATGCAAGGTATCTGCGGTGGCAATGGGAGATATCCCAGAGGTGGAGGCCCCACCTTGAGGAGGTCCCGTCTCATTTCCAACACTAGCAGCAGTAGTGGCTGCAGACTGCTCATTCACTCTCTCAGATGGGGATGCCTCCTTTTGCTGCCTCTTCTTCTTGAGGACTGGCTCTCCCTCTCCTGCCTTAGTAGACTCATTCCTAGGGGGCGACATATGGGCAAACTCCCTCTCCTCACTTGAATTTTGGGGCCTCAATACCCCAGAAGCAGTCTCTGCTGCAGCAGCAGTCCCCTGCCTATTAGCTAGAAAGGCTGCAATGGTTGTGGCTAAATAAGCCTTTTCCTGAATAGCAACCTTCTCCTCAGCCTCAAGCTCTGCACCATGGCCTACAGCGACAACAACATCAATATCCACATCCACCTCCTCCTGGCCCCCGTTATCCTCCACAGGGGTGGTAGAGTAGAAGACGAAGCCAAGTTCCTTCGCCAGCTTCTCGTTTGTCACGTACAAATCTATGTCCAAGTCCCAAACTCGACATAGACCTGAACGACATCAACAAACAGACTCAACCCTACGGGGCTGTGCCTATTGAAGGAATTAGACCCGACAGCAGTAAAGGCAAATCCTTCCTCCCTGTTGGTGCAGATGAAGACAAATCGGTTCTTCCATCCGTGATGGAAAATGGGAGTATTGTAGAACCCACTCCTCTCAGGAACCTGTGAAATGGCTGTGTACCCTTGGTTTCCTTTGGAAGGGTTAAGGCCTATCTGAAATAGATGGTGAAAGAGGTCCACACTGACCTCTGTGCCAAGTTCTTGGATACACAATAAGGACCCAACAATCAGGTAAAACCCATTGGGGATCACACAAGGGAGCAGCCCAACCCAATTGAGGTACTCCACAAAGAAAGGATGCAGGGGGTGGGGGTGGAACTTGTGTTCCAGTACATCCTGATGCACCATAAAGAAGCCCGGAGGGCAAGACGATGGGAGACTACCTGCATCTGACCGCACAGTGTCAATGGTGGGCTCGGCCCACCACCTAGCTGTTTCCCAATTAGCATCTGAGAGGGAGCAGTGAGCCTCTAAGGGGCCGTTGTCAGCCAACAAACCCACGTTATCACCACCTTTTCTCTTCTTCCCACCTCTTCGCTTTTTAAGAGCACGAAGTGGATCACTATCTAGCAGAGAGCCGACATCTTCAATCTCTTCATTGATGCCAGCCTCCCTCAACGCTTCGGCATCATCGTAACCGAGGGGGATGTCATGGTTCACCTTCTCACTGGTACTGGCAGAGTCAGATTGGGAAACCATTTTCTAAAGACCTGCACCAAAATACACGAAATCAATACCCCGGATAAGGAACTAAAGTCCGACCCCCAAATAAAAATCGAAGACCGAAATCGACATCCTTGTGTGATTCTGAATCTACGAGTACCAGTTTGAGCCCCATTGCGCCATTGCGACACTACAAGTGCCACAATGCATAAAAAACGAGTTCGACCGAAAACCCCTTGCTACAGGTTTCCTGGCGAAAAAACGATGGTTAAAAACGAAAATAAAACAAACCAAAGACTAACATGTTCAAGAGGCGAACGAAGACGACGAGAAACGGGAAGACCCTGACCAGAACGAACGCAAGAGCTATGTGGTTGCTGGAGAATTCTGAGAGTTCGAAAGCAAGAAAGCGCGAAGGAAAGAGACGAAGTTTCTCACCTTTTATACTTCCCCCAAAATTAAACGGGAAACTGACTCGTGGCTAGCTAGGAATTAATCGCATGAATAACTGAAGAGTTTTCTCCAAAAGGGAGTGCAAAAAGGCAATGATGGCGTCGAAAAGTCTTTCCAAAGCCTTGTCTTGCATTAATGGAAAAGACGGTTAATAAATTCGTATGTTGCAAAAGGAATATTTAAAAATTCCTATTTCTACACATCAGCGTTACTATAAGTCATAGCATTTTTTTGATCCAAAAAATTCTTAAGTCCACTAAAGTCTTAAAGAAAACTACCTCGCCCCTATTAAGCTCATACTCTTATACAATCAGAATTTCTTTCTAAGTATACAAGAGTGGGAGACTGGTAAGTGGGGAACTCAGGCAAAACACAAAGGCAAAGGTCATCAATAGTACAACTTAGAACACGACAACAACCACGTCAGCACCACTCTACAGGTATAACTAGACGCTAGGCTCATTATATATGACTTCTAATTTTAAAGATTTATTGAAAATTTTATCAGCCCTCGGTCAAGGCCGTGGATGTAGTTACTAACTTGCAAAAACAAGAAATTAGAACAACAGAACAAGAACATTCAAGCTTGAGCTCATATTCATTTGCAGCAGGGCGTCACCTTCCTCTCCGGAAGTCATTTCAAAGTGGAGGGTACTCTTTTTCCCCCGTTAGGATTTTTTCCCACAGGGTTTTTTCCTCAGCGGAGTTTTTAATAAGCTACCCCTTTGTTGTGACCATGGAGAGAAGTGCTCCCGCAGGGCGCACCAGCCCAGAAGATTGAAGATTTACTCTCTCTCACCTCAACTGTCATTTTCGCTTCGGAGAGTGGGGGACTCATGATGGAGTATATTCCTATATACCTCAGTGGTACCACATTCGGTGGACAAAAAGGCTCCCAAACAAGTCAAACACTTAAATAACGGAAGTTCCAATCGACCTCCGACCTCGAGTGGACCTCGACACTTGAGGTCGGGAAAAGATATAAGGCAACGAATCGACAAAGGCCACAAATCCAATCGAGGCCGACCTCGACCCCCTTTTTGAGGTCGGAGCTCGAGCATCACCCAGATGAAGCAAAATATGAGGCCGACCTCGGTCACGCCGAGGTTGGTACCAACTCCGAATTATGACACTAATACGAGGTCAACCAAAGTCAACAGAAAAATTACCACTACCGAGCAAACTGAAGACCAGAGTAAGTTCCTCCATGTATGGGCTCAACTTTCTCGAGCTCCGACCTCTAGGAGCTCGGAGTCTTACCAACGCTGTGGACATAGGCGTTTCACAAAATCAAGTGCCACACGAACTACCACCACGTCACCAGCACTGTATGAAGCACCACATCACTCCAGGCGGATAAGATGAAGAATAATCGGGATAAAACACGTGTAACCCACACATGTATTCTGGTATAAAATTGTTATGCACGGTAGCAATCAGCCAGCTTTCCCAATTATCTCTTCAATCACATTTACATGTGTCAATGTACTATTAGACTAACTTTTATATTCTGTTAGAGAGGAAGGACACGTGTCATCACCACAATAGAATAACATTTTTTACTTGGGCACCGAGTATTACCTTTTTAGTATAAATATCAAATTACAACATGTGGAAAGGGATCCGAAACAGAATTCTCTTGTTGTTACTCTGCTGAATTTGATACCCAACCTTACTTAGCAATTCTTCCGTTCCCTCTCTAATTTCCCGGATTCCGGCTACCCCCAGGATCGGTGATATTTTTAGCATGTTTAGTCTCCAAATGAGGAGCTAAACCGTTCCATATTGGTTTTCCTACTTTGAAGCTTAATGAATTGTAAGTTGTGAGTTATTTTCTTTAATCTTCTTCCTTGAATATTAATTGATTCCTATTCATATTTCATATTAATATTTTGAACATTACTTAAAGGATCAACTAGTTTTGTTTCATATATTAATTATTACTAGAATCAATCGATTAATACGCTTGTTATTAATTCGGTTCTTTCAACGGTTGTAAACTTGGATTATTAATGCATGCGTCTCATGGTTAGTAATCTAAGGGGAATTAATTTTATTGATTAAACCAATAAACCGCTTGTGTTGACGTTATCAATCTCATTTGTTTTCATCTTAAGTTTATTGCTACTATCAGGTTAATATACGGCGCATTTTCTATATTGACTCAGTAGTAAGTTTTATTAGTGAACGCGTCTCTTATTAATAACTACCCTCGATGAAATGGAGACACTCTTCGATTGAGTATTCGAGATGAAGATAGTTAAAGATATAACCGGGATCGACGAACATTTCGTTAAGTGAATAAAAGCAAAAGCAAGTCTTCATCTCTATTAATTAAACTCATATAAGTCATTCATCTTAGTGTTAATTAAATCAAATATAACTTAAAACCCCCCCTTTGTTACTAATTAATTAAGAAGAAGAGTATTCATTTGCTTGTGGATACGAACCTTACTTCATTATACTACGTATAATCGTTGTATTGATATTTATTTTGAGTGCACACCACGATAAAGTGCTCGTCAATCGGCGATCCATCAGATATATTATTGCTTTGTACTACTCCGTATTACATTCCATGCACAACAAGTTTTTTTTAAAAGGGAGTTTTTATTCAATCACACGGGGAGAGAGGAGGGTATAAAACCTAGCCTCTAGATAAGTTACAATCATAAGTAATATTTGGGTATCCATCCTACAGCATCAAATTTGAAGATGCCAACAAAATGAGGAGAGTTAGTGTTTTTCCCTTCACTAATGTAGTTTGCAGGGATTTGTTCACAACTCTAATATCAGTGTTACTCTCTTGCATGACCTTTGTAATTGGAGTTATGGAGTAGATGGATGTCTACAGCTTGACATTTGCGATTTCTTGGTCTTCTAGCTCTATGGTTGAGACGTTATAAGAGCAGTGCGGCTCCTACACACCAGAGTTAATGGCCGAGAGGATAGGGTCAATGATGGCCGCGTGAGCTGAGGTGTTGAAAAAGCTTTGGTGTTCGTTCATGCACAAACATTCAAAGTAAAATGTCCAAGGTGAAAGGTTGGGGGTCGGACATGGGGGCGTTTTATAAGAGTTTTAAATATTCTAAAGATGGCCTCAGAATTAGTAGTGATTTTGTCTTCAATCAGAAGGGCATTCCTCATTTTCCATAAAATCGTAGCGTAAAGAGGAAATTGGTTCCAATTGGTCCATTTTAAAATATTAGTGCCATCCAAATAGGTTTAAGAGTGTCACATTGTAGAAAATAGTGGTTGCAACTACGGCATCTAAAATAAAAGGACCGGGGAAGGGAAGTTGAGAGCGTCTCTCTCTAGCCATCCGAGGCTAGACTCTTCCCTCCGCGGTTCTCCCGGGTCGGCACCACCTTTCACGGTGGCCGCCGCCGCTGGAGTCCACCTGGCTCCGGCGGTCTTAAGGTATTATGGTTACAAATATTTGGAAAACTGGTTTTAGACCACCTCGGTGGTTCTGGGAGCTTGTTGGCCGGACTTCGCCGGAAATTATGAAGGACTTTTGACTATTGGGTTTCGTAGTTTGGGACGTCAGATAGGCTGAAAT